TTGAATGGGGGGGAGGAAGGTATGGAGGGCAACCATGGATGCCAGGGACAATGGGGGAGGACGATGGGACATAGCAGAGGGTGGGGGATGGGGAATCAGGGATGGCAAGACAAAGGGCAAGGTATGCAGGACGTAAGAATTGGAAAATTATTTGCTGAGAACATGTATGTGGATGTGCTTGATTGAGCCAATGCACAGTGTATTTTGGATGGAAAATTCATATGTGTGTTGTGGTGTAAAGTGAATTAATTAAAAAAAAAAAAAAAAAGTTCTGAAGGGAGTGCTACACCAGGAAAACTAAAGAGAGAACGACGGGCATAAGAGAACAAAAACAACCAAGAGAATCCAACGGGAATGAATGAAAACTCCACGTTAAAAAGACACTTCTTTCAGTATTTTTGGTGAAAGCAACTAGTCATGTATTCACTTTCCTTGGAGGGTCTAAATTTGATTTCTTAATGTTTACGATTCTATCTCCAATCATGCTGTTTTTATACACTACAAAGTTATTGTGACCTAAAAGGGAAAAAAAAAATGTATTTGTGCCAAATGTGAAATTCTTCGTATGTTATAGGAAAAAAATACTTCGGAATCACTTTTAGAAAATCAAATTTCAGGTCAAATCTGTTTATTTCTTTTTAAAATAGATTTACTTTTCACATATTTCAGCTAAAAAGAAAAAAAAAAGTCTGAGTACTGCTGCAATAAAAAAAAAAGAAAGAAAGACAAATTAGACTTCCTGACATGTTGAAATTATACAGGAAACATTGTCTAATATGAAATGGTATTTAGCTCTCTGTGTATAGGAATTCGTGTCAATGGGTGTTCCAAATTTGTATGAGATTCTTAAATATGTTATGTATTAGTATGTTCTTAGTCATACTTGTAATGCGAAATGGTTCTAATGTAGTTTGTCACAGAAATGATCAAATTTGTCAACTTTGGGTTATGGTAAAATCAGATCTAGAACCATGACCATTTTAATTTTCACTGTCCATAGTTAACTGCTTTACTCTGATGTTCTTTACTCTAAAACATTTTGTAATAAGCTACAATCCAAAAAGTGCCTCTTTTAAGAAAATTAATGAAAAAGACTGATAAATACTCTTGAATATAGGTCTTTGATAACTTTGAAATCTTATTTCTGAACTCCCAGGATTTAAACAGGAAGACTGGACCACTGTAACACTGCAAACTCAACAGAAGAGAGATGAATTACATGAGACTAAACTGGTGAAATAAAATTGTATGACCTTTGGAACCAGCAGTTAGCGTAATGGCTATGTTGCTAGACTCCCATGTAGTCAACCGTGGTCCGAGTCCCGGACCCGGTGGCTTAAACTCACGCCAGGCATGTGTGCGTGCGTGCCCATGATCCCGAGAGGAGAATGGAGAAGGGATTGTGGTGTGGCCATCCCCCCTGGGGGGTGATTTCTCGCTTTCTGTCTCTCTGTCTCTCTCTGTCTCTGGCAAGCGCTCGTGCCCTGTAGCAAAAAAAAAAAAAAAAAAAATTATGACCTTTAACTAAAACATTACTTATTTTCTTCTATGCTTTGTTTTCTAGATTTAAGAATTTTTATTTTCTTCTGAGTTGATAGCTTCAGCAATTTGTTTTTAAAAAATTTATTTTGAAAACAGAATTGAAACGATCTTTTCTCCCTTCCTGACCCTTCCAGAATTGGAAAGTATTTGTGAATATTCTTATTTTGTGGCAGTACGATTATTTGTACAAGTTCA